ATATNTAGTANACTATATATCTATATATATATATACATATATATAAATATATATATATATACACACACACATATATATATATACATATATATATATATATAGATTATATATATATATAAATATATATATATATATATATATCCCTAGATACATACATACGTACATACATGGAATCTTAGAGCCGTACATACATTTATGGAAAAAGACATATGAACACACAAACACATATATAGCTCACATGTATATGTATATACATGCACGCACACACACACAAACAAACACAGACACCGGCACACCGACAAATCGACACACACACACATACACACACATATATATTATATATATATATATATATATATATATATATATATCTCTCTCTCTCTCCTATTTATATGCTTGTTTCGTTCCTAGATATTCCCCAACCTCCAGCACGACACCACGAGAATTCAGGCTGATTAGATCAATAATGTGTAGTATATTATAGTATCTGAAACCATGTAGTGCTATTTTGACGAAGCTATCTTGAAGATCGAGTATAGAAAGCCTTTGGACATTCGAACTCACATAATATAATGATACCTCGTACTCCCATGCCCAACTTCATTTGCTAATTCGAATGGTAATATGGAACTACAGTGACATACAGTCCGAGTCACGTAATGAATACTACAGTAGATAGTTGGTGTGCCATTAGAGCTGTCGAGGTACATACCGCGTTATTGCGGGCCAGAAGCGCCAGCTCGTAGGTTGGCATGATGACCAGATATTCCAAGACGTTCACTTCGCAGAATCAGTCTATGATACGAATAGTATGTAGTAATCAGAATCAGTCTATGCTACGAATAGTATGTAGTAATACATTTGTTCAGAGGTAGTTATCATGGAGTGTTGACCTTATGGAATAGGGCGTCGTGGGCCACGGCGCTTCGGAAGTGTCACAGAAATTTCAAGAAAACTGAAATCCCTCAGCGAATATAAATATCTGTCTATAAATAGAATAGATAAAACCGCGGATGCCTGCTTGACTGCTTCTGTGCTTCAGGCTTCATTTTGTTTTCTTTTCACAGTACGGTTTTGCGTTAACGTTTTACGTTTGAATATTTGTGCTATACTACATAGTGGTATATTTCCGACAGCGAGGGTGCGCACTTTGCCTTTACGTTAAACGTTAGTGGGGCCGCAGTGGAATATATAAATAGATACCATAGCCCTCTAAATAACACAAGAACTCGTATAAATAACGCTGACTAATAATGTCCCCAGAGCCCCAGACTCCACAGACTAATAAAGAGGCACACAAATATGTAAATATTTAGGTAAATATATATGTAAATAAACGAGCCAGAGCCATCATAATTATATTCTACATAATATATCCATACGGTCGGTTGAAGACCTGATCTGCTCACTTTGAGTTGCTACCTGATAGTACATAGAGAGTGCTAGTGTAGCCATAGATAAGATAACCATACCAGCGAGAAAATGGCAATTCACAGCGTGTACGTAATTAATAAGGCTGGATCCCTGATTTACCATCAGTCTTTTGGATCTGCACCTAAGCTTCCAACCAATGAGACTATTTTTTTGGCATCTATGTTTCACGGGTATGTATTAACATTGCAATGGTATGATGGATTCAACATATTGGCACACACATGC